TTCGTGGATTTTAAAAAGTATTGCTCTGTTGCATCTAGCTTTGGATATTACTGCTCAAAAGTCCAAAGCTCTTTTGCCTTCTAATTTATTTATTCATCTAACAAATATTTATTGAACCTGTACTGTGTGTCAGGCATTGTTTTAAATGTTTGGGACACATCATTGAACCAGACAGATTCCCGTTTTCCAGGTGGTGAGGGGGGCTACAACAACAAACATAATAAGTAAATTGTATAGCCTGATAGAAGGTCATCCATTTTACTGACAACAACAGAATAGAAATGGAGGAGGGGAAGGGAAGAGGAAGAGAGGTAGAATGGGCAAGGATTAGGAGGAGGGGTCAGTGGGCACAGTGCTGGGCACTGTTTTAAATAGAGGGAACAGGGTAGGCCTCATTGAGAAGGTAATATGCAAGCAAAGATTAGAAGAAGGTGAAAGAGTTAGTGATATGGGTGTCCCTGAGAAAAGTATTTTAAGGTAGAGGCCCAAAGGAGCAACCTAGCCTTATGGAACAAGGAGGCTAGTACAGTGAGTGAGGGAGAAAGAGGTAGGAGATAAAGTCAAAAGAGTAATGGGACACATCATCATATTGTGTAGGGCCTTATAGGCTGTTGTAGGATTTATCTATTACCTGCACATGGGAGATTTTAATGGATTTTTTTGATTGCTGTGCTTGGAATCCGCGGGTGGGGTGGGAAACAAGGGTGGAAGCAAGGAGACTGGTTAGAAGGATAATCCAGTTGAGTAATCCAGTTGAGAGATAATGAGGCATAGACTATATAATAGTAGTAGAGGTAGTGAGGAGTGGTTGGATTCTGGATATAGTTTTCAAGGAGGTACAGTAAGATTTCCTGGTGGTTTTAGATACAGGATGTGTAGAGAAGAATCAAGGATGACATGAAGGCTTAAGGCTTTTGGACTGAGTATCTGGAAGCATGGAGTTTCCATCAAGTGAGGGGAAGGCTATTGGTTGAGTAGTCTGGGAGAAGGTAAGGGGTTCAGTTTTGGCCACCCCGCTGTAGGAATGTCTAGGAGGGTGTACACATCTGGGGTTTAAGACACATCTGGAGGGTTTTTGGATATAAAAATCTTGAAGTCGGTGGCAGTATCAGTGGAATTTTAAAAATACAAGAGTGAATGAGATCACCAAAGTGAAGAAAAGTGGGCCATGGACAACTCCCAAATTCAAGACTTTGGGGAGAAGAGCAGGAATCACTACCAGGCAGGAGCCAGTGATCTGATCAAATCTGTCAGATGTTGGTGACAGCTCAAAACTTACAAATTAAATACAAACAAAACTACAAAACCAGTAAAATTCAAATTATACTAATTATGAAAGTATTGAATACTGCCTGCTAAATTGAAGTCTTGAAACAACATGAGTTATGGAATTGACTATTATGCTGTAAGTTCTTTTTGAGTTGAGCACACCAAAATTATCCCATATGTTGTGGTCACCAGATGATGCATTTTCTTACCAATGTGTAAGTGCTTCAGTGAAAACCATGATGTCATTTGGGCTTCACTTCACACAAATGCATCATTTATATATTAGGTCCCCCTCTGTATTTCTCTTTAGCCTCCCATAATTAGAGTACTGTAGTACCAACTTGGAGCTAGTGTGACCATAAATGTAAATAGGAACATTCATTTACATGGCTAACAGGTGGATTCAGATGATTCAGAATGTGCTAATGCTGTTTTTTAGATTATTAAACACAGGAAAATAAAACAAATTTTTGTAGAGAAATGTGGCACCCACCCCGAGAACAGAATCTTAGTTTGAGGAAAATTAGAGTCTAAGTTAATTCGTGTGTCATATCCTTATTTGAAATAACTAAAATGATTTAGTTAGAATTTCAGATGCGATGCTTATGAAGACACAGATTATAACTCCTTCAAAGGAATATAATTTCTTTTGAATAAGGCTCCATGAATTTTTTAATATGGCATTTCCCCCTATAAATTCCATTATTTTTCTGCAGTAGTAGTAAAGAGCTATCAATATCAGTGTATTGATATTAAGACTCTGGTGTGACTTTTTACCTCATTTCTTTAATTTCTTCGTCTCAAGCAATGTGTTCTTTTCTGTTTAGCTTAGTTATCACCAACTCTTCATAGGTTACTACCAATTTAGATATGCTTAAAATTTTTGTTCTCTGTATTTATGTGTGTATTTACTTACCGTTATTTGTCAGGAAAAATGGGAAGATGAATGTTACATTGCAGAACTGGGTACAAGATATTTTATGAGGAAGATTTAAAAAGCATAGCTTAACATCAAGATGGAGCAAAAGAGCAAAGATCTACTGGAATGTGTGACAATTTTACATCCTAAGAGAATATAAAACATAATCAGGGTAGTGAACAGTTGTATTCAAACTTGGACATGTAACTAAGTGAATAGTATTTGGCTGCTTTTATCTAGACACTGTGAGCTTTGGTTATATCGCAGTAGTGACTGTGTTGTAATCATGACTGACATGGTTTCAGTAATTTCAAGTGAATTCCCCAAAATTCTATTTAGTGATATGTGGTAGGACATAAAAAAGTTGAGAGCCTATTTTTGACCCTCTTCCTGCTTCTTTTACTCTTTTACTCTTTTTTTTTTTTTTTTTTTGGCCGCACCATGTGGCATGTGGGATCTTAGTTCCCCAACCAGGGATTGAACCTGCACCCCGTGCAGTGGAAGTGTGGAGTCTTAACCACTGGACCGCCAGGGAAGTCCCCTGCTTCTTATATATTTCTCTGCTCTTACCTCTCTTCTCGATTCTTTGCTTTGATTTAATGTCTAATGGTTTAATGGCTGTTAGATTATACCACTTTGATACAAAAAATTTCAAAAAGCAACTTACTTGCTATGACTACAGTTTTAACTTAAAGAATTTAGGGGACTTTTTTTTTTTGGTCAATTTTTATAAACATTGAAGATTAGTTGGATGCTAAGTTGAATATTCTGTGCCAGAGTGAGAAGATTATACATACTTTTTTTTAGAGTTATTTGAAAGAAAATAAGATTCAGGAATGAAGCAGTCTGGCTCTGTTCTTATTACTTCTTAATTTTTCTGTTCTTCAATTTCCTCATCTGCAAAATGGAGATACACCCTTCTTTATGAGTCTTAAATAAAGACTGTATATGAAGCTGCTGACATGAAGCCTTACAGGTTGGTAGATGCTCAGTTTGAAGCTTCTTTCATAGCAAACTCTGTTATCTTTATCATGTTTCCGACAGTCCCAAGTTGAGGTTATGAAAATGAACACAGTACGTTGAAACAACAGTTTTCAGTAAAATCCTGTATAATCTGGGTCTTTTTTTTTTTTTTTTTTTTGCGGTACGCGGGCCTCTCACTGCTGTGGCCTCTCCCGTTGCGGAGCACAGGCTCCGGACACGCAGGCTCAGCGGCCATGGCTCACGGGCCCAGCCGCTCCGCGGCATGTGGGATCCTCCCAGACCGGGGCACGAACCTGTGTCCCCTGCATTGGCAGGCGGACTCTCAACCACTGCGCCACCAGGGAAGCCCTAATCTGGGTCTTTTTAATTTAGTGATTCCTTGCAGGGTTCCTAGTATGGCTCTGTAAACATCACTGAGTGTGTTGTTAATAATATACCAAATGTTCCCACATACTTGATCTCAGTTAAAGTCCAAAAATCTTGTTGTTAGTTTTATTGTTTCACAAATGAGCAACTTGAGACCCAGGATATTGTAGTTTTGCCCAATATCAAAGTAATTAATATAGGTATATGCATAGGTATATTCTTAAGGTAGGTTACCAGTGGTGCATTACTAAAAAATGAAACTACTACCTAGGAATGAATGGGTTTATGGAACTGTGATGTCGCAAACAAATGTTTTGAAAACTTAGAGAATTGGTATGAAAATATATTCAATTTTTTAGACTGTGTTTATGGTGATAAAATGATTTACTTCACCATATAGTGTTATTATTTTTTAAAACAGACTTTATTTTTTTAGAGCAGTTTTAGATTCACAGCAGAAGTGAACAGAAGATACAGAGATTTCTTGTATTCACCCTGCCCCATCATTATCACCCAAAGTCCATGGTTTACATTAATGGTTCTCTCTTAGTGCTATATATTATATGAGTTCTGACAAATGTATAATGATATGTACCCACAACTGTAGCATACAGGATAGTTTCACTGCCCTAAAAATCCTTTGTGATCCACCTCTTCATCCCCTCCCTGCCCAGTCTCTGGCAAATACTGATCTTTTTACTGCCTCCATAGCTTTGCCTTTTCCAGCATGTCATATAGTTGGAATCATACAGTATGTAGCCTTTTCAGACTGGCTTCTTTCACTTAGCAGTATATATTTGTTTCCTTCATATGTTTTTGTGGCTTGATAGCTCATTTTTTAAAATTTCTGAATTATATTCCATTGTATGAATGTATCACAGTTTACCTCTTCACTATAGGAAGACATCTTAGTTGCTGCCACGTCTTGGGAATTATGAATAAAGCTGCTGTAAACATCTATGTGCAGGTTTTTGTGTGGACATAAGTTTCCAGCTCCTTTGGGTAAATACCGGGGAGCATGATTGCTGGATCTTATGGTAAGAATACGTTTAGTTTTGAATAAACTGCCTTCCAAGTGGCTGTACCATTTTGCATTTCCACCAGCAATGAATGAGAGTTCCCGTTGCTCCACATGTCCACCAGCATTTGCTGTTGTCAGTGTTCTGGATTTTGCCATTCTAAAAGGTGTGTGGTGATACCTTATTTTTGTTTTAATTTGTATTTCTCTGATGACAAATGATGTGGAGCACCTTTTCATATGCTCCTTTGCCATCTGTATATCTGATGAGGTGAGGTGTCTGTTAAGGTCTTTTGCCCGTTTTTTAATTGGCATGTTCGCTTTCTTGTTGAGTTTTAAGAGTTCTGTGCTGTATTTTGGATAATATAGTCCTTTATCAGATATGTCTTTTACAAACATTTTCTCCCAATCTTTGGTTTGTCTTCGCATTCTCCTGACTGTTGCAGAGCAGACATTTTTACTTTTAATCAAGTCCAGTTTATCAATTGATTCTTTCCTGGTTCATGCCTTTGGTGTTTCTGAAAAGTCATTGCCAAACCCAAGGTCATCTAGATCTTCTCCTGTGTTATTATCTTCTAGGAGTTTTATAGTTTTGTATTTTACGTTTAGATCTGTGATCCATTTGAGTTAATTTTTGTGAAAGGTGTAAGATTTGTGTCTAGATTCCTTTTTTTTTTGCATGTGGATACTCAGCTGTTCCAGCACGAATTGTTGAAGACTCTCTTCATTGTGTTGCCTTTTGCTCCTTTGTCAAAGATAAGCATAGTGTGTTGTAAAATAGTGTTATTTAAAGTGAATTTTAAATCTTAGTTGTGAATTCACTCTCTTTAATGTTATAGCAAGTAACAGATATATTCTACCTTAGGGGTCATCAGGGATGAGTGAGTTGTGGTTGTATACATGCTATTTCTTTTATTTGGAATCTTTCATACTGTTGTACTTGATTTATTCATTCCTTCCAGAAATATTTGAGTACCTGGTCTGGGCTGGGTACTGTCCTAGGTGCTGGAGATAGAAGCGTGAGCAAAATAAACAAGGTCTATGCTGATGAAGTTTATATTGTAGTACAGAGCTCTTGAGCCAGAAGTTAGTGGTTCAGGGATCCTGGGAGTTCTCAAGACCCTTTGAGGGTCAAAACTTTTTTTCACAATAATGAGACATGAGAGTAAAGTGAGGTTCCCAGAGGCTACATGACATGTGGTATCTTCACAGATTAATTGCAGAAGCAGATATTAAATATCCAACAGTATTTTTTATTGCATCAGATATTAAAAAGATTTGCAAAAAATGTAAAACATAAACACTTTTCTCCCTATTATGGAAGATAGTTATTTTTCATAAACATTTTATGTAATAGATTTTTAATTGTTTTGTAAAAAATGTGATGGTAATTTTAACAAATATTTTTAAAGTTCTTGGCTTGAATTTCTAATATTGTAAATATTAATACATATAAACCACATTGACAAAATGCTCTTTTGGGATCCTCAATAATTTTTTAAAACTTTAAAGCAGTAAAGACATTTTTTTCTTAAATGGCCAGATAGGTTTAGCTTTAGGAGTCATAGGATCAACTTTTTATTTAACTCCATCCTTGAAAGCAGTCACAGATAATATGTAAATGAATGGGCTTAACTATGTTCCAGTAAAAGTACTTACAAAAACAGGCAAGTGATCTGTAGCTGTAGTTTGTCAGTTACTGGTGTAAAGGGTTCCTGGTACCAAAAAAGTTTGAGAATTGCTGTTATCAGTGAAAAGCTGGTATTGTGGAGAGAGAGACGGGCAGAAGACAGACAATAAGTAAGTTATTTAGTAAGAGAATTTCATATGGCAAGAGATAATATGAAGACAGTAAGAAGGGTGATCTGGCCTTTAGAAATAAAGTGATCAGGAAAGGCCCCTCTAAGGAGCTGACGTAAGGTAACTCTTATTTTTTCAGGTTTTATCTCCCATCTTTTTTTTTTTTAATCTCTCCTGGCTACATTGGATCTCTCTTGTGTTGGGAGCGAAAGCAAGACAGTTGAATCTTATTAAACTTAAATTCAGAAAAGGTTAATTTTTCAAGTTGAATTAGAAAATATCCAAAGCATATCTGCTTTGAAAGGATCTAGGAAATTATAACATATTGCCCAGATTAGAACACTGACCTACTTTATACGACATCTAGCAAGTTAACTTCTCTGTATCATTTTTCTCTTCTGAAAATGAGAGAGCTGGTTAAGATCTTTTCCAAGTCTAAAATTTTTCATAATGTCTGTTTGCCTAGGATGCCATTTGTCACCTCTTCTAAGTCCTCCTCAATAGATAGCTCCAACTTCCTTTTTTTTTCTTTTTTCTTAAAGTAGTTCTGTGATCTGAAATATTTATTTTGAAATCTATTTTCCTGTCTATAATGCAGGGGGTAAATGCTTAACCTGGAAGCTCATTGAGGACAATACCTGGTACATAAGTATGCTTATTAATAAATATTTGGGGCAGCTGTTTTAGTGAGAATGGAGGAAAGTCCCTCCTCTGCCTCAGTGTTTAACTTGCTGACCCTGGAACCATTTAGGTTATAGCAGTAAGAATGAAACCAACCAACAATGAAGCTCCAATGAGGGACATGAAAACTTTAATAGAGGGGTTAAGGAAGTACAAGAGCAATGCAGTATGAATTTATGTGGCCATTCCAACTTCAGGGAAAGGAAGGGGAAGTAGCCGTTCCTGCCATCAAACTCTCTGTTCCCTTGTTGGAAATTGAGGATCTACATAATTAAATTCTTTAGCATACCAAGAGATAGGTAACTTTAGCAAAACCAAATTTATGAATTAGAATTTAATGAGTTCTCTTGGAATGCAGTGCAAAACAAAGATTGGAATTATGAGAAAAAAATACATAAGTGACTTGAAGATAGATCCAGGAGAGTCAGTATCAGGATTATGTGAAGAAAAGAACTGAGTAATGGTAAGAGTCGAAGAACAATTAGAAGAAAGGTCCACAAAGGTAAAAGACTTGAGTCTTGGGATTGAAAATACTCACCTCGTGTTTGGCAAGTGCTGATGGCATGTATCTAGATGTTTTGATGAAAATTTCTTCCAAAGATAAGAGTCTTAGAAGCTACCTTCTAAAAAAGGTTACCTGCAAATGAATGAAAATAAAAATGACATTAGATTTTTCATCTACATAGTTACATGTCAGAAGACAGCAGAATTTATGTAGTTCTAGGGGTAAAGGGTGTGAACTAGAATTCTAAGCTTGTGCAAGAGCTTCAGATTGTTAAGACTGAGACTTAATTGCTTACATGCCCTTTCTGAAAACTTTTTTGAGGTACTATGGCCATACCAAAAAATGAATCATAATTAAGGATTCAAGGGGAAGAAAAAGATGGGTATTTGTCTTATGATATAGTTGTGAGAAATGAAATCAGAATGTTTGCAGTTAGGTTTAAATGATTGTTTTGACAAAAGTTTTGAAGTTTAGTACAGTCTTTATCCTGGCAGGTGGGAAAGGGAAAGTTTCACTATTAGCACATTAAATGACCTGCCTTGTTTTGGGAGATGTTAATACTTTTATTCTTGATGTTAATATAGATTCAATGTGAAATAAAAATAATAAGGATAATAGCTAGTAAAATAAAATTAGGATGTAGAATCATGCTTTCCAATAGGACTTTCTTCAGTGACAGGATATGGTGATACTATTTTGCATTCCCACCAGCAGAGTATGAGAGTTCCATCTCTTAGATGTGTCACAGGCATCTCACTTCTACTTTGCATTTCATCCATTATTACAGTTTGGTATCTAGCATAGTGCCTAATGGGTTCTGGTTAAGTATATGTTTTTTTTTTTTACCAGGTGTAGAAGCCTCAAAATACAGTGTTAGGCATTAAAAAGCAAATGTACTTTGCTTTACACATTTAAGTTATGGTTTGCATTTTCCTCTCCGTTTACTGTCATCACCTTTGTTCAGACTTCTGGTTTTACAGGTCTTCTATCAGGTCTTTTGTCCTGGGCTTTCCCCACTTCACATCATCCCTCTTACTGGACACATAACTCTGATTCTGTGGCTACAATGTCTTCTGAATTATCTTCAGGAAAATAGAGCTTTTAGGAAAATACTTTGTATAATTTTTTAAAATTCCTATTACTTTGGTGCAGTTCTGGAAACTAAAAATAGATTGCTTAATTTTTTTCTTGGCATTATGGTTTTATAACAAAGTTTGATTTTTAACTTTTGGCATTTTAAGCTGTTGAATTTTAAGGAGACTTGCCTTAGTTTTAATTTCGTCTGAGGTAGACAAACCATTAGGATGTGGACATCTTTGAGGGGGGCCATTATTTGCAGGCCGCAGTAACTTTAGTAAAAGGCAAGAAAGTGAAAAGCACAACATTGTTGTGTATTCATTTTAATCAGAGAAATTCTTCATCAGTCATTTATAATTTATAATAGGAAACAAAGTTTCCCCCATGAAATTGAGAATAAAAGTTTAAGACTACTTCTGTCATAAGTTTGTGAATGTGGCAAAGCAACGATTAAATACTCTGAAATTACTAAGGCAACATTAAAGGCTGATTCTAAAATGTTTTTATCTAAATTAAAATCTGTTTAAACTTTATACCAAATGGGGCCTGAGATGTAGGCTTTATTTTAGAAAGGGTAGGTAATAGTGCACTCTTGGTAAATTTTGGATTTTTGCTAACTTTGGATTCTATGGGCTTGTCTTAGTGTAATGTAGTTTTTGTGAAATTTTCCCTCGTAAAACCAGTTTAAATAAATGTTTTACCTAGTGGAGAAATTCTGTATTGTGCTAAAAATTAGTTAAATGGCAGTTGATCTTTGGTATACATTTTTGATAACCTTACAAGCTAAAGGCATCTTTTAGAGTATATATCTGGAACCCACAAGTTCTATGTCTCTAACTAATTGATGACCTTAGGCAAAACAAGTTAACTTTTGGAATTGTGTGAGTACGTACATATTTTGGAATATGTACCACCTATGATATATATAACTTACCCGTCTCCCTTAATCCAGACAAAAGCCATGCAAGGCTGGAAATATTGTCCCAGTTTTACAGCTGAGCGGGTGGTGAAGACTGGGTTTGAATCCAAGTGTAGATGGCTCCAGAACACTCACATTTTTACTGTCCTGACTCACTTGTTGCGAGGTTTGTCCATATATTAATGGCTTTCAGATAGTGTTGTAAGGATCTGTATAGGTCCTTTGGAAGTTTGGGAAAAAATTTTTCTTTGGCTTGAGAAATCTGTCATCCCTTTTATTTGTTTTACACATTTAGACTCTGTCTTAATTCTGTTTGGAGTTTTTCCTGCCTAAAACATTTTAAGTCTCCTGCTGTAGAAACCTGAGACTTAACTGTTGAATGGAATGAATATGTATTAGAAAATAAAAACCTAGGTAATAGTAATTTATATTTGTCAGTGAACAGACTATTTTCAATTATATTTCTATTCCTAATATCAAAATGAGGTTGAGGTGACTGAACACACTATATAGGGTGGGTAAGTGATTAGAGTTAAGATTTTATGCTGAAAATGGGCAATCTACAATTTGCAGCATAGGGTTCACTCCCCACTACCAGCTCTTGCTGCCTTTAAAGGCTGCCCTAAGCATGATGTAATGACAGGTTAAACCTCTGAATGCCTGAGCTGACGCAATGCAAATCTGAGGCCCTGGACTTTATTGGGGCAAGGGTAATGCTTGTTTAAAAACAAAACAAGCTACTCTGTTTAATAAGGCCGTTTAAGTTGGCTTTCCTAGAGTGGGAAGAGAATAAAATCTCAATTTGAAGGTTGAAGCAGGAGTTTAATATGGTTATGTGTGTTTACTACTCTGACTGCGAAGTCTTCTCGAAGGGAGAAGGGGGAGTTTAAAACAAGGTGCGGTGAAAATGGGGAAGTGAGTTACAATTGAGGAAATAAGGTAGTTGACGCCCGATAAATAGTTATTGAACGAAGTAGGGAGAATGTTTTTACTGTATAAAAATCTAGCGTTCTCACGGTTAACCGAGAGAGTGTACTGCAGAGAAGAGTGCTTGTCTGGCCACGGATTTCCCATATATTCTGTGCAGATCTTGGGTTGAAACCAGCCGAAACCAACCGAAATTGCCTATATCTGACTGTTTGGGCCTACAGAAGCGGAGTGTTTCTACCTACTTGTAAGCTGGTGGAAATGCTGTGGCGTGTGCAGTGTCGCCAGGTTCGCGGGGATCTCGGGTTTATTCCGGCTGGGTGGCTGGTGGGAGTCGCGCGCTGCTTGCTTTAGAACCGCCCTAGGCTGAGTGGGGTGGAGCCTTAATCCCCGCCCGCCCGCCGCCGCCCCCCCCCCCCCCCCCCCCCCCCCGTGCGCCGCCCCGCCCTTCGCCCTCAGGCAGCCGCCGCCCTGAGCACAGCACAGTCTGAAACTCTGCGTGGAGCGGGCCCTCCCAGCTGCGGGCCGGACCCTGCAGCAGTAGCTCGAGCTGGCACCGAGACCGCAACTCCTCGTCCGGTCGCTTCCACGCACCCTACAGTCTTGTCCTTCACCGAGCTGGCTGGAGCCTAGCCGATGAATTTGGGGAAGATAGACTTCCGAGACAGACAGACGAAGGTTTAGGGCCCAGCAGAGGACAGCTCGGCAATGGCTCCCATTTTTGGAGACGCAGGCGAATTTGAGCTCATGGGGAGGTGTGGTCGGCTCCTCTTGAGACAGGATGGGGGCTTCAGTTCTCTGCCTCTGTAGCCAGTGCTTCTGAGGAGTATTGAATGCAGTGTATGGAGCAGGGCACGTGCCTTCCCTTCTTGAAAACTTGACCCGGGACATGTTTAGGAACAAAAGGTGTCCAGGACGGCCCTCTGTTGCAAGTCGTCTTTACTTCTGGGGGAAAGGCTATGAGCTGCCTGGCTTCTCATGACGGGGAAGCCTCCCTTACCTTTTCTGTACTCCTGGAGGGGCGTCTTGCTTACTTGTTTACCAGCATCTGGGACAAAGAAGAGAAAAGGTACTGCCATTAAGAGACTGGGTTGCTTAAACTGTGAAATGGGAAAGTTGTGTGAGCCAGTGGAATCTAAATGGATCAGGGAATGGACCATAATTGAGCTGGCAGTGATGTTTCCTTTGGTCAGCTGTGTACTTTTCTCAATTTAAATCAAACTTCAGGTTATGTCATGACTCCTGCAGAGTTGTCCAGACACTTGAGTCCTTGGTTCCTACTGCAGGGCTGTGTGTGGGTTGGGGCTCTTTCTCTCTTTGAAGATGGAGCTGGGTTCCACCTTCTGAGCTTTGGGAAGCTTTAGTAGCTGCTATCCTGTAATAATTCCATTCACAAGAAATAGACGCCACATTTTGCTTGTTTTCACACTTTGAATAGGAATTTAAGTTGTGCTTTCTACAATGTTGGAAAAATAATAATGTACACTGTAACATGAGCCTGAACTATTGATGATAAATGTATAACTATTTTGCTCGGTCAAGAAATTAAAACAGTAATACTTTTCTTGCTTAATAGTTACATTATGTTGAATACAAACTGAGTTTACTGCCTCTCAACGTGTGACTAGCTGTTTCGGTTTAGTGATTTGAAAGGCATTGGTGGCTTAGATTATTTTGTGTCCAAGGAACCACTTCCCAGTTATTATGTTGCTCTCTTAAATGAGCAGCATAAAATGGACCATGAAATAAACATACAGGATATTTTGGCAATGCTGATAAGCCCATTGTTTTACTAGTGACCTAAAACAAAATGCATGGATCATCATATGCACAAAGAATCTCCTCAGGGGAAACTGGATTACAGCAGAGTTCCTTTATAGTGCTTTTGTTGGGCTGGAATACCGGGGTTATAGAGGGCTTCAGTGATGAGAGTTGATTCCTGTTGTCCTAAATCCATGTGATGAGCCACATTATGATAGAATTCTGTGGTACTTTTGTTTCCCCTTGTACTTTAGAATATACCTTTAGTGACAGTGGAATTGATCTGTTTTGGCGTTTTTTTGTTTTTCTTTCACTCTCAGTCCCTATTTAAGGTGTCCATCCTTGAGCAATCTATGAGTAATAGAAGCCAAATTGCATTTATGTGGTCACATTGATAACAGCATTATTTTTCGAAGTTAAATTCTTTCCAACAGTAACAATTATAATTGAGAAAACATTAAATTTGAGGAGTTTAATTTTGTAGAAATATGGCTTATGGTTATTGGGAGTATACTCTTAGGACATCAGTAGACTGATTTTTTTTGTCACCCCCAAGAAAGCGGCCCACTATATCCTAGCAAAGGTAGATTTCTGGGAAAAGGTGGCTTGTTTTATCTTTCATTTAGCTTAACAAGTTAGTTAATATTGTTGATCATTTCTTCCAGATGGCATTTATTAAATAATGTTTATCACTGTACTGATGAATGCTTCAGCAACACTGGTGAACTCTAGGGTACAAGGAGTTCTTTACCTGTTGGCTCTATCCCTCACCCCCAATGTTGTGTGAGTCTCTCTGATGCTTTTTATCTTTATTCTTTATTATCTTTTCCTGACTCTCCTGCTTTGTAAATTATACCTGATTTATATTGTAGAATGGAAGTAGAGTAGAATGGTTTACTTTCTTTGAATACCAGACTCAAATCTTTTATTTGAGGATGGCCCTCCATTTCTCCTCCATACTTGCTCACTTTTGAAGGGGGCACAGATCAGTAGGAAACAAGGTTAATACCTAGCTGGTGTTAACATTCCATGCAGACGGATGATGGAATGGCAGTAGACCCTTCCCCTTGTAACCCCTTCCCTTTCCCAAATACACCTCTAGAGCAGATAACTGTTCACCATTAGGAGGAGTTAATCAGAGTGCCCTGGTGGTCCTTTGGATCACGTATATAACTCACTGGAGCTATCAACAGCTGCCTTAAGAATGAGGAAGAAATAGAATGAGTAGGGCAGGTGAACACAGAGAGGGAGGAGGAATTCCAGTCAAAACTGATTGCATTGAACTTAAACTACTTGTACAGTGTTCCTTAGTTGTTATGGTCCAGTTTCTATTTTAGCATTTATTCCATCCAAGGATGATTTTTTTTAACATTATTTTTAGAGAAAAGGAATTCTAAATGTGCTCTGGAACATTTTGAAAAGAGATTTTATCCAGTGTACAATGCACATACTTCAAGTAATTTATGTTTTTTTAAACTGTTTTCCTTTTTGCTTACAGTAAATTCTGCATGAAACTTAAGTATTTCTGGCATGTAAACATTATTTATATAAAACAAGTTATCGTTGTAATTATTTTTCTCCTGCCTCCTTTTATTTTTATTTATGTTTTTTATTACAGAAATGAGCCGTCAGACTGCAACAGCATTACCTACTGGAACCTCAAAGTGTACACCATCCCAGAGGGTACCTGCCCTGACTGGCACAACTGCGTCCAACAATGACTTGGCGAGTCTTTTTGAGTGTCCGGTCTGCTTTGACTATGTGTTACCACCCATTCTTCAGTGTCAGAGTGGCCATCTTGTTTGTAGCAACTGTCGCCCAAAGCTCACGTGTTGTCCAACATGCCGGGGCCCGTTGGGATCCATTCGCAACTTGGCTATGGAGAAGGTGGCCAATTCAGTACTTTTCCCTTGTAAATATGCCTCTTCTGGATGTGAAATAACTCTGCCACACACAGAAAAAGCAGACCACGAAGAGCTCTGTGAGTTTAGGCCTTATTCCTGTCCGTGCCCTGGTGCTTCCTGTAAATGGCAAGGCTCTTTGGATGCTGTAATGCCGCATCTGATGCATCAGCATAAGTCTATTACAACCCTACAGGGAGAGGATATAGTTTTCCTTGCTACAGACATTAATCTTCCTGGTGCTGTTGACTGGGTGATGATGCAGTCCTGTTTTGGCTTTCACTTCATGTTAGTCTTGGAGAAACAGGAAAAATACGACGGTCACCAGCAATTCTTTGCAATTGTACAGCTGATAGGAACACGCAAGCAAGCTGAAAATTTTGCTTATCGACTTGAGCTAAATGGTCATAGGCGGCGATTGACTTGGGAAGCCACTCCTCGCTCTATTCATGAGGGAATTGCAACAGCCATTATGAATAGTGACTGCCTAGTCTTTGACACCAGCATTGCACAGCTTTTTGCAGAAAATGGCAATTTAGGCATCAATGTAACTATTTCCATGTGTTGAAATGGCAATCAAACATTTTCTGGCCAGTGTTTAAAACCGTTGCATTCAATTTCACAGAGAATAAGGCACCTGTCTGCCTACCAACCAGACGCTTTTGGTAGGTGGAAGCTAGAAACAGGAAGGTAAATGAAAGGCTGTTAAATACAGGAAACAGTTGCATGTAGTAACACTAATATATTTAAAAATAAGTCAACAGTAAACCACTGAAAATAAAATATATATATATGTGTGTGTGTGTGTATATATATATATATATATATATATATATACACACACCCAAGATGGGCATCTTTTGTATTAAGAAAGGAAGCATTGTAAAATAATTCTGAATTTGTGTTTGTTGTAGATTGAGTGTACTGTTAAAAAATATTGGGTTCTTGTTTTTTTTTGTTTTGTTTTTTTGTGTGCGTGCGTGAGTGTGTGTGTGTGTGTTTGGTTTTTTTTTTTCCTTTAACTGACAAGCCATGTTGAGTGGTCTTGGACCACTGCTTTTCCCCTATGTGAGTCAATACATAGTGCTGCTGTGTGTGTATATTTTTTTGTGTGTATTTGCTAATTTTTATTAATTCTAGTTTTTCATTAAATAAATTTGACTTTCTTTTCTGTAATTCAGGTTTTTCCTCACTTTTTTTTGTACCTTTTTAAAGTTAGTGTCTTTTTGATATGCATAATTGTTTATGGTAAAATTTATACATGTGTTCAATACATATTTTCTTTTTCCCCATTAATCAGTTCATTAGAAATATTTTAAATTCAACTATTTTGTGAAGATATGAGTTTCAGAAAGGAAAGGTAACATCGGAAGAATTATCAGAAGCTATTTAAAGCAGCTATAAAGTGATCTTTCTCTTTCTCTCTCTTCTCCAGTTGAGTCATACCTTCAAACTTATTCTTTGTAAGGTTAGGGAGTACTGATTTTTTTTTTTTTTTTTTAATACTGGAAAAAAAAAATCAGGCTCTCCCCCTCCCCCAGATACCTTGGACAAATCACACATGTTTAAAATTTGTTCTTGTATTTATTGGTTTTGCAAAAGAAGGCATCGTCTCACACAGTATTTGTAATTAAAAGCAAGTCATTTGTTTAAAAAAAAAGGCAGTTTGCAAAAAAAATGTTTTTGGTCTTTTATAATTCTCATTAAAAGAATATCTGGCAAATTAAAAACTCTTACGTGTCTGCTTTAGCTCCAAGTTTGATTAAAATCCAAAGTTATTTTCCTGTTAAATTCTGTATTTTATAGCCAAAAGCAATGTACTATGTATTGTGAATTTTGGTAGATAGAGATCTGTTCTAAAGTACAGTAAAAGAATGGGTATATGGTCTCTGGCCTACACAGAATCTTGTTTTTTCCTTCCTTTTGCTTAGATTTTGATTCTCACAACTCTGTTAGGAGGCGAATTAGTTAAAATGCTGATCACTTTTCCCCCCTTTTTAACAACAAAAAAATGAGTTAGTATTTTATAGCCTTGTGGTTAAGAGCCTGGCTTCTACAGCCAGACTTCGGGGGCTACATGCCTATGCTAGCTGTAACTCTCACTAATCAGCTGTGTGATCTTGGGTTCCAGTTTACTAGTGTAAACTGAAATGAGGTTAATTATGGTAGCTACATCCAAGGGTTAAATGGGATGGATACAAGTTACCTAGGACCGTGCTCTGTACATAATAAGCTACCCCAACATGTTAGCTGCTATTAGTATACCTGTAACTAGCACCATATAGTTAACTGATGTGAGTTAGCCTGAAGCACCTAGCAAGATTCTGAAATTGCCTTCTGATTGGCCATAGATCATTTTATTTTGTGTGGTTTTTATGGGTACCTTAAACATAGGAAGTCAGTTAAAAATAATTTGGACTTCCCCTTAAGCCCCCCCACCACTGCCCCAATTCTGGATAACAAAATTTACTTCTGTTAACCATTTTCAGGAAAGAAGGTTGTGTAGGGGCCCTGGTGGTGCAGTGGTTGAGAGTCTGCCTGCCGATGCAGGGGACACGGGTTCGTGCCCCGGTCTGGGAAGATCCCACATGCCGCGGAGCGGCTGGGCCCATGAGCCATGGCCACTGAGCCTGCACTTCTGGAGCCTGTGCTCCACAACGGGAGAGGCCACAACTGAGAGGCCCGCGTACGGCCAAAAAAAAAAAAAAAAAAAGGTGGTTGTGTAGTTTCTTTCCTACATAGGCCTTATTTTTTGAATTGGTTATAACTTGTGCTTGTGTGTAGCCATTTTTGTGGCGAAAGGGAACAGGGCAACCACCAATGTATATCCAGGTCTATTCCTATTAGCATGTGTGTTTAGAAAAGCAGTTTTTCCTCCTTATTTAGTATATTGAATATTTTTGTGGAGTTATATCATTTGTATTTAAAATATTTTAAAATGTTTCTTTGATTATAAAACATTTCTTTGATATATGTGTTCAATATATAGACTTTGGCACACACAGTAGAGTCTGTAGTCTTATCCGTTCAGACGACTACAAACATTTTTGTTTTTCTAGTTCTTTGTGTATTTACATGTGTTTACACACATTTATTTTGAAATCATGTAATTTGGGATTGTGTAACTATGTAACTCGCTCGCACCCCTACACATAACATGATCATCTAAGCATTTAATAATCTTGGAAAAACATCATTTGGGGTAATTTTTGTGAAGATTGACTGTAGTTTTAGCCAGGTCCCCAGTGTTGGATATTTGCTTTGCCCAGTTTTTCCAGGTAAATTTTTTCGGCTAATTATAAATAGCCTGTGAACATTTCTATGTTATCTGGTTATATTCTTGGGGTTTTTTATTTTCTTTAAAGGTCTTGATACTTTTTTCATTGCTTTCTGGAGAGGTTTCAGTGGAAACTTATGGTAGCAGTGTGAAGGATTTTGCCTTTCATTGTAACCTCATGTTTTGCCAATTTATGCTTAAGATAGTAAATTTTGTGTGTTTGATAGGTAATAAGGTTGATATTTTAATATTTGTTAACTATATTTATTTGTCTTCATATTTTTGGCCTATAGGGATGATGTGACCTAGAGCCGTATTTCTTGGTCCATTTGAGATTTATGAGATCTAACTCTTGTTCTTAAATCATCTATATTTATAATCAATATTCTACTTTTTCGTATTGATGCCCCCACCCCTTCTGGTGTCTTGGTGTTTTCTTTCAGGGGATTATATAGGGTAGGGGTAGGGGATATTTTTTGTTCTTTTACATTCTTAAACTTGAATTCATCCTGTTGAACTGAATCATGAACCAGTTTAATAGGCTAACGATTGTTGGGGAATTTTTTCTTTTGCTTTGAGTGATTTTTATTATAATATGTATAACTTTCTAATTTAAAAGGCCCACAATTTTACAAACTTTAAACTTAAGCGAAGCAAATGGCTATAGATGTTTTTGGCTCACCAAAAAATCTTAGTCATGTTCCCTGCTCGCCCCCCCAAGCTCAAGAGCTCTATATGCAGGAACATCTGCAATGATTCTACTAATGGAATTTTATTTCACTCAGGTTCCTGAGTGGAAAAATTGGTAAGTAACCCAAACTGAAAAGCAAAACACTGCATCAGACTTAAACATACCTGGGGGCCAGGCCAGTCTGTGACTGGTGCATTAGACTAGAGTAAGATTAGAACACATAGGGTGAATTGAGTGTATAACCTACCAACTAGTACTGTAGTCATTTATGTAAGTTAAATAAGAAAGGTACAGATGGAACGTTTTGAAAATCTATAGATTGAATGCACTGCTAGAACCTTAAGTCATTCCCTTCCCCACCTACCTATTGTGCATATTCCAAACATAAGGATGATTTGGTGGCTTACTGCGTATGATCTTAAGCAAGTTGAGTCATTTACCAAAAGAAACTCACATTTTCCTAAAAACAGCATCATCCACCAAATTCAAGCATCTCCTAAAATGTAAAGTGTGGGCTGTAGGTTCTAACTGCCTGGGTTTGAATTCTGACCCTTTACCTACTAACTTTGACTTAACTTTGCTCGAAGTTCCTTCTCTGTAAAGGGTGTAGTTGTGTCTACCTCATTAAGGGAATGAGGATGGCTAAGTGTGCTGTAAAGTGCTTATCCTTATGCCTGGCACTATAGCCTCATTGCTTGCCGAACCATTTTCCTTAACTTTATACAGCCTTAAGAATTTTCTTTGAAAATAATTTATTTTTCTTAGGCCTTTCTAAATTCTGAAAAGTAGAAACAATGGTTTGAAGGAATACTTGGTTTTATAATAAAGTCACATTTTGACAAGCTTGCACTGTCACGTCAAGATTAGGATTTAGCCTAAAGGGTTTTAGTTCCTATTGCCTAGAAATGTACTGACAATATGTCAGAGCTGAACTTAATTAAAAAATTTTTAATATGAAAGATTTTTTATGAGGTCCAAGAATGTTAAATACATTCTTTAGCTCATTGATAGTACCTACCATACCTAATATGTTCCAAATAAGTGAATTTTCATAGCAAATAAAGCTTTTCCTACATTAAAAAAGAAACTTGATACAGCTGTTTAAAGACTTTTCAATAGCCATTCAGTGCACTTGCCTATTGTTTCCCTTCAGATCCTTAGTATTTCCTTCCTGTTCTGGTGCTTTAAAAATTTTTTTAGTAACTAATTTTCATTGCAGTATCCACTAAATGTTATTAAAACAAAAAAGCATAGCATTGGATCATAAATCATCAAATTGGATAATGACTGTACTTTTGTAGTCTTGACTTTTTAAGCTGCTGGATAAAGTTTTCATGAAGATGGGCACTCAAATACAGCACATTTTAGCCAAAATAATGTGAGCTTGAACATGTTACACTTAATTAAAAAAACAAAAGTTCTTGATGTTTACATCTAATAAATAGTCCCAGACAAAATAAACTTTGGATTTGGAAGAATTGGCAAAATTAACATTCTTTGTGGCTTAGTGTCAAGTCCCCTTAATTATAGGAAGGTTTTTCTCATTTCAGTGGTCAATAAAAGGAAAATGCAAAGTCAGCCCACTCTGCCCTCAGCAGCTGGTTACCTCACAACATGGTAGACTTTGGTAAGGTTTAAATGTGGACCGGTCACCGAGTGCCGGGAGCTCCTCTTGGTAGACATGACTAGTCACTGTGTTCAGATGATGGGAATCAGAAACCTCTGCATTTCAAGCAGCCTCTGCAACTCAGATGGCACTGGAAATGGAAATGAATTTGCAACCCCGCTCTTCTTATGAAGAGGATCTGTGCTATGACCAGAATGCAAATCTTGACTGATGTCCCGGGAAGAAAAGGAGAGAAGGAAATTTTGTGTGTTTCACTCAGCACATAAATTTTACCTCTCCTTATTTAGAAAAATTCAGGTATGTTTAGTACACTTTAAATCCACTCATTTAGTCAGGAGACCTTAACAATGGTCCAAGATTTGTAGGCTGATGTTAAATAGGGTCACTCAACTCCGATGGCATCTTCCACTGTATACAGGTGATTAACAGCAGTAAATCTCTGACATGGTTTACAGTAAGGTTCAAACAGAAGGGGCAGAGCCAAGTGAAAACCACTGAAGGGGCAGAGCTAAGTAAACGTGTGCCTCAAGCAGTGTAAAATTTCTTGATTACCAAGGCACTTAAAGCTTTTCATAGTTTTAATACTTGAAGAGTTTTAAAAGCCCACATTAAAAGTGTGGAGAGCACTGGTTAAATACACAGATTCCCAAGCCCTCACCTATAGGCCTGCTGAATTGGAATTTTAAGTTAGTTAGCAGTTCCAAAAAACCTAGCTGACTGATAGATGAGGGGTCTTTGGGAAACACTTTTACAAACAGTGCTAGAAAAAGATACTCAACCATTAGTCATCAGGGAAATGTAAGTCAAAACCATGAGTTGCTTCTTTAATGGCCTTTTTAGGATGGCCATTATCAATAATGAAAATAAGTGTTGGCAAGAATGTGGAGAAATTGGAACCTTTGTGTATTGCTGGTGGGAATGTCAAATGGTGTAGCTGTGTGGTGGGAAACATGGGTGGTTCCTCAAGTGTATTTCCAAAAGAATGAAAAACAGACTCAAAGAGATAGTTGTACGCTCATGTTCACAGCACAACAGCCTAGAGGTAGAAACAACAAATGAATATGTGGCATGTGCAGCAGTGGAATATTACTCAGTCTTAAAGGAAATTCTGATACATGCTGCAACATGGATAAATGATGACATGCTAAGTGAAACATGCCAGACACAGAAGGGCAGATATTCCACTTACATAAGGTACTTAGAATAGGCAAATTCATAGAGACAAGGTAAAATAGTGGCTACCAGGGTCTGGGGGATGGAGGAATGGGGAGTTACTTTTTATTGGATACAGAG